ATTTGAACAAATGCAGGAACAACATGAAAGTGACAACCAGGCTATGCAGAATCCTCGTCGCCACTGTTACAACTCAAACGTTGTTGAGTTGCAATTTATAAATGTTTATTTANATTGTTGAGTTGCAATTTATAAAAGTTTATTTAAAAGTTAAAGAAAACAAATTACAATTATGAAATTAGAAAATNAGTGACAACCAGGCTATGCAGAATCCTCGTCGCCACTGTTACAACTCAAACATTGTTGAGTTGCAATTTATAAAAGTTTATTTAAAAGTTAAAGAAAACAAATTACAATTATGAAATTAGAAAATATTTAAAGGTTAAGCAAGCACACGTTTTTCGCTGTCGTCACCTCAGTCTCGGGGTTGCAAGTCACTCTCTCACGTCACCCAAGTGCAGGGTTGCACACTCCATACACATTTTGCTACTTATTTGTGGGATGCCAACACCCCTAATGTGCTTTGATAATTGAATATAAGCATGGAAAACGGAGCTTTCAGCTTGGAACTCTTTGTTAAGAAATAAAAAATAGCATTTGGTTTTGTAACACATTCTTCTGCCAGGTCTGCAGATCGCATACCGTTTACTTCATAAAAGCAGGAAATAAAATAAAGTTCTAAACTATCCCATTGCTCAACAATTCTTAACACATCGCTTGAAAGCCATCGTGTTTGAGATATGCCCAAGATATTGTGGGATTTTACCGAACAGTAGTCCTGAAATTCCTTCAGTTCATGTATCCTCTTTGGACGGTGGGAAAAGAAACTCGATGCTTTTCGGCCAATTTTCACAAGCGTAGCTTGAGCAAAGGTGAAGTGAGTGGCATGTGCACTTTATCAATTTTGTAAATAGGCAATCATGTTTTCTTTACACCCCTATTACGGCTAAACTATACCTCTAAGGTATAAACAATTATATATCTTTAGAAAGGTATTTTGATGCTGAAGTGCAGTAAATTTTTCAAATTTCAAATTAGTTTAACATAAAGCGAAAAAATCAATTCAAAAGTGGCAACAATACTATTGCTGGACATGTACATGGTTGGGACGGAAATTCCTCCTAAATGTCTGCTTTAATATTGATACTGAATTAGAGAAACGTGCTCACAAGCAGTTTAGGAATAAGATGTACCTATGTACATGAATAGATTAGACTCAAACAAGGAAGAAGGTTAAGTTGAGAATGTAGAAGAAGAAAGCGATAAAGGCAGAAATTAAAGTAACGAAACCTAAATATAAAGACAAAGAGGAAGGAAGATTTAAATAACCTAATAACAATGGTGGGAGGAGATGGAAATGGAGATGGAAATGCAGATGAAGATGAAGATGATAGATGAGATGAAGATGAAGATGAAGATGAAGATGAAGATGAAGATGAAGATGAAGATGAAGATGAAGATGAAGATGAAGATGAAGATGAAGATGAAGATGAAGATGAAGAAGAAGATGAAGATGAAGATGAAGATGAAGATGAAGATGAAAATGAAGATCAAGATCAAGATCAAGATGAAGATGAAGATGATGAAGCTGAAGATGAAGATGAAGATGAAGATAATGAAGATGATGAAATCAAATTAGTTTAACATAAAGCGAATAAATCAATTTAAAAGTGACACCAATACTATTGCTGGACATGCACATGGTTGGGGCGGAGATTCCTCCTAAATGTCTGCTTTAATATTGATACTGAATTACAGAAACGTGCTAAGAAGCAGTTTAGGAATAAGATGTACCTATGTACATGAATAGATTAGACTCAAACAAGGAAGAAGGTTAAGTTGAGAATGTAGAAGAAGAAAGCGATAAGGCAGAAAATAAAGTAACGAAACCTAAATATAAAGACAAAGAGGAAGGAAAATTTAAATAACCTAATAACAATGGTGGGAGGAGATGGAAATGGAGATGAAGATGAAGATGAAGATGAAGATGAAGATGAAGATGAAGATGAAGATGAAGATGAAGATGAAGATGAAGATGAAGATGAAGATGAAGATGAAGATGAAGATGAAGATGAAGAGGAAGATGAAGATGAAGATGAAGATGAAGATGAGGATGAGGATGAGGATGAGGATGAGGATGAGGATGAGGATGAGGATGAGGATGAGGATGAGGATGAGGATGAGGATGAGGATGAGGATGAGGATGAGGATGAGGATGAGGATGAGGATGAGGATGAGGATGAGGATGAGGATGAGGATGAGGATGAGGATGAGGATGAGGATGAGGATGAGGATGAGGATGAAGATGAGGATGAAGATAAGGATGAAGACGAGGATGGGGACGAAGATGAAGATGAAGATGAAGATGAAGAGGAAGATGAAGATGAAGATGAAGATGAAGATGAAAATGAAAATGAAGATGAAGATGAAGATGAAAATGAAGATGAAGATGAAGATGAAGATGAAGATGAAGATGAAGATGAAGATGATGAAGATACAGATGCTGATGAAGATAAACATAAACATAAAAAAACGATAGAGACAAATATAGAGATTAAGAAAGTAATAGGGATAAAAAAGGAGATAGAAATGCAGAATGTGCGGTGTTATGTTATGGATCTTATGCTACTTATGTTATGTTATTTAACTTTACCCATTCCAACTAATGTTATTTCACATCAACTCAACTCACATAAACTCTCCTTAATTTTAGTGGTTGAATTTCAACCGCTGGGCGAACACTAGTATAAAATAAATCGAGTTCTTCATTCAATAATGTTTTCGGCCCGCCATTGTTTTCTCCAGCCATAACATTGGCTTCATCAGTGGCCAAACCAATTAGGCTTCTTATTTTTATAGGCAGGATTGGCAAATGTTTAAAAGGTACAATTGGCAAACATTTATATGCAAAATGATGTTTGAAATATATAGTTTAATAATTACTAATTTAAAAACTTAATTCAACTACCCGAACAAAATCTTACTTTGCCTACCAACCTACCAAATGAAAAAGAAGCTACCAAATTTGGTCGGAAAAGATCAATAGTGGCAGCACTGCGGCCTAGTGCCTTTTATAAATGAATAAATATATAAGTATATATTTGAGTAATAAAATGGTAACTGGCATGATTTGTAAGCGTTTGGTATAAAAAATTATGACTAGCCAACTAAATTAAAAATAATACAGGCCAACAAAAATGGGAAAAAATGTTGCTGCAGCAAATGTTAAAGCTGTTTTTGATAGACTTTTTTGTGCTTATTACGAATTCATAAGTGTAAGGTTTCCGTCAGCTCCAGATTTATAGAAAAACGAGGTGAAAGTGTCCAAAAATCGCGTTTTTTGCAATATTTTANAGCAAATGTTAAAGCTGTTTTTGATAGACTTTTTTGTGCTTATTACGAATTCATAAGTGTAAGGTTTCCGTCAGCTCCAGATTTAGAGAAAAACGAGGTGAAAGTGTCCAAAAATCGCGTTTTTTGCAATATTTTACTTCCACATAGGCTTAAATTAAAGCTAGTACTCTCGACTACTGTCCCTGAAAATACCATTTTGCATCTTTACTTGATGAAACTTCTAGACATTTATTGAACAGCAAAAACTGATTTTCGTGAAGTTTGAGTACCTACCGCAACTAAGTAAAAGGTGATAGAACCTTCCAATTAGGGTTAAATTAAGGCTTGAACTTTGGACTGCAATCGCTAAAAATGTCATCCCTGGATCTTGACCCTAAGGTGCCTTATAGTCATTTACTGAACAGCAAAAACTTATTTTGGAAACATTTCTTTTTTCCATTAGCATAATTTTCCAGTATTTTTTTAGTGTTCAATAAATGACTATAAGTGACCATCAGGGCAAGGTGCAGGGATGGTATTTTTAGGGATTGCAGTTGATAGTTCAAGCCTTAATTTAAGCCTAACTGGAAGGTTCTATCACCTTTAACTTAATTGTGGTAGGTACTCAAACTTCAGAAAAATCAGTTTTTGCTGTTGAATAAATGTCTAGAAGTGATCATCAAAAGTTTCTATCACCTTTCCTTTCTTTGCTAGAGTTTCGCGGAATATTAAAAAAAAACGTGATTTTTTTACACTTTGACTTTGACCTTTGACGTATTTCCCCGGAAGTGCTTGTTTCGTGCTTCCTCNCGTGATTTTTTTACACTTTGACCTTTGACGTATTTCCCCGGAAGTGCTTGTTTCGTGCTTCCTCTGATAGCCGCTCGATGGGGAGAAGTGCATTATCTACAACTAAAGCGTCATGCATTACATTTTTTCCTCCAAAAACCTTCCTTTTTCTAACTTGCCGATACCCACTTCATTTGGTGCTAATGTTTAAACAGTTTAAACTATCACGAAGTAAGAAAATTCGCTCTTTGGGACACTTTGTAATTTCCACTAATTTTTCTTCAAGAAACTCGATTTTCTCTTCCATTTATTATATTCGCCTTATTGAAGAATATTGAATAACGCGTCTCTTGTCATCCTTATTGATGACCGCATATTATATCCTAAGAACAAAAAAAATACTTGCTTGTGTTAGTTTCGAAAGTTTCAAAAACAAATATTAGTTTTTTTTCTTATTGCTTATTTTTCAAATAACGATTTAAAAGAGGGCGGAAAGAGGCGGTCGACTTTAGTTTTTTACAGATATATTAAGCCAAAGGTTTGTAAAATATGCCGTTGTAAAAAACTTAGCTTAACTCGACTTAACTCACATTTAAATTACCATGAAAAATAAAATTTCAATACAAATTCGCCAGAAAAAGTACTTTTGAATGCTAGTCAAGGTTAAACGATTCAAAAATTTTGTTTGATAACAAGTATTAAATAAAGTGCGTACTTTCCTGAAATGAATCCATGAGAGCTTTGGTAATTGCACTTAACACAACTGTTTTGTAAAGCAATAGGCACGAGTATGAAATTCTTTCTTCTGTACTACAATTCCAATTCTTGATAAGTAGAAAAAATTGACACAAGTGCACAGATTCGGGCTGTAAATCTCTGTGTTCTATATTTTCTTTATTGAACCATTAAAAATGTTCCTTACAATTTGAATGTTTCAGGTAGTGGATCCTTTGGAGACATATATCTGGGAATGAGTATACAAAGTGGAGAAGAAGTTGCCGTAAAAATGGAAAGTGCAAACGCAAGACATCCACAACTTTTATATGAAGCTAAACTATATCGTATTCTTACTGGCGGAGTTGGTATTCCCAGAATTCGATATCATGGAAAAGAAAAAAATTTTAATACTTTAGTTATGGATCTTCTCGGACCATCTCTCGAAGATTTGTTCAATTTTTGCACACGTCATTTTACCATTAAAACGGTGCTTATGCTAGTGGATCAAATGATTGGCCGCCTTGAATATATCCATTTAAAGTGCTTTATTCATAGAGATATCAAGCCTGATAACTTTCTTATGGGTATCGGACGTCATTGCAATAAGTTATTTTTGATTGATTTCGGTTTAGCCAAAAAATATCGCGATCCCGTTACCCGCATTCACATTACTTATCGTGAAGACAAAAACTTAACGGGAACAGCACGTTATGCATCAATAAACGCACATTTAGGAATAGAGCAGTCTAGACGCGATGACATGGAATCGCTGGGTTATGTTATGATGTATTTTAATCGCGGTGTTCTTCCTTGGCAAGGCATGAAAGCAAATAATAAGCAACAAAAATATGAAAAAATTTCAGAAAAGAAAATGTCCACACCAATCGAAACTCTTTGCAAAGGATTTCCCGCAGAGTTTTCTATGTATCTTAATTACTGCCGCAGTTTGCGATTCGAAGAACAGCCTGATTATATGTATCTAAGACAGCTTTTCAGGTAAGCAATTTAAAAATAGTCCTCTGTTGTAAATCAACACAATTTCTCAAGTAGCGCTTTGATTGATTTGACACTTTGTTCGCTTTTAAACTGTATTATAATTTTTACAATTAGGTCGTCCATATGAAGTAAAAAAATAAGTATGATTAGTATATGTTAAAGCATAAACAGACTGCAACGTTGATCCGGAATAACGGCGCAATTGATCGGATCAAAATTGTAGCTTGAAAGACGGAAGGAATGCGGATTTACGAACCGTNTATGTTAAAGCATAAACAGACTGCAACGTTGATCCGGAATAACGGCGCAATTGATCTGATCAAAATTGTAGCTTGAAAGACGGAAGGAATGCGGATTTACGAACCGTGAGGTCGTAGGTTCGAATCCCACGGCTTCATTCATTTTTTTTTTTTTTTCATTCAATTATGAATTCTATATTTTTTAAAGTTTTTAGTTAGTAGTGTTTGACTTTCTTATAGTAAAATTAAACTCTAAAAATTTAAATTAACTAATAATAAAATACAAAATGCGAAATAAAATAAAGTAAAATTAAATATTTTAATCAAATAAAATTTAAAAAAATTTAAGTAACAATAAAAACAAAATTTTTCGGTAATCGCTATAACCGAGGATCAAACTTTGGACATGCAGCCCTCACCACCAGTGTTGCCACAGCTTTTCGGGGCGACCGGCTAGATTGAACAAAAACGGCTAAAATACGTAGCTAAGCTTTATATCAGAAGTCATGTTTGTATTACAGTATATTTTGCTTAGCTGCACATCCTTCTTTGCACGAAAATCTTGTGCGAATTTTCTTTACTACTTCAATGAGGAAGGTATCCGAATCCCTATGAAACCAAATATTGGCGGAGCACTTACCATTTAGAAATTGCTGCAAGCGAAATTTTTACCGAATGTTATCTAATTATCTATATAACTACATAAATTTCGTTGTTCTGCGAGATGAGCAAAATAAATAAAAGGTTGTAAAATTAGGTAATTGTAGGGCCAGTGCAGGTAAACGTAATACTTTCTTTGATAATTGATACTAGTCGCACAATTTTTAAGGAAGGTATCGCCAATGTGCAGGTATGTTGAATGCATCTATCGGAGCAGTTTCCTTATAAATGTTAAAAATAATGCTTTTGATGCGCATTTTGGGGTAGGTATCTTAAATGTGCACTTAAGCATAGAGGCAGCAAAGCAAAATATACTGTATTTAAATATAAAAACAGAGATAAATTACAAACTTATGGCGTTTTCTTTTCTATTAAACAATTTCGCCGTCTTGTAAATATTGTAACATTTTCAGTAGGTTGCTTTTTGTCCCGCAAAATGCCTATATCAGCAGAAAGTATGGCACTTTTGCTTAGTCGGAGGGCAATATTTTGAGAAATTAACACGTAAAGCTGTGAAAGCGCTGAGGAAAACAGGGCAACATTATTTCGTTAAAAGAAAACGCCATGATACTAATACAGATGGTAGTTTAATTTGTTGGCATTTGCTGTTGTTGCCTTGTTGCCTCAGTTTTAACAAGTTTATGACATTTAACTAAAATCCTGCCACCAGATTCACTAGCAGAAAAATTTTTGTTTCTTAAACAAGTAAATAAAATATAATTTGAAGTTAGTGAAGTTGGATGAAAATATTAAAAGTGTTGCGCGTTTCCAAACTGCCAGAATTCGGTACACCTGAGCAATGGTTCGAAAATAAAGTTTTTTGCTTCTCCGAGGATAGGGTACGTAATACGATCTAATGCAGTTTGATGACAAACTGCTGACGCAAAATATTTTTAAACCTCTAAAAGATGTACCGTTATCCGTGGAACAGGAAGGAGGTCGGGTTTGAATGATGCCCTGCAACTTGTAACAGTACCAATTTTTGGATTCTCGGAATTTTCTGATAAAGATGTGGTGCTGCTAAAAAATATATACATAAATGTAAGCACGAAACTATGTATTTGTGGCAAGAATTATCCTCATAAATAAAACTACTGCAGTTTCATTTTCTAAAATTTGTGTTTATAGAAAAATGTATAAGACAGTTTGGGTACGGTTCGGTTATTTGTACAATGATTTTTGGTTATCGTGTCCAAACACGTGAACCGAATTAAAAAAAAAAATTACATATACGTCTCGCAAAGGGATTAAGCTTTAATTTAAAGTAAATATTTCTGTTTGAAATATGCACTTTTATTGTAAATTTGGACGACGTGGGTTTTGCACAGAAATACTGTGGATGGCGTAACCGGAGTTGGACTGATGAGGTTATTTCTTCTAGTGCGGCCGAAGGTCACAACTCGGAAATAATAATAATAACAAAAATAAAGTATGTTTGCACCATTATGCAATTATTCACAGGTATTGTCTTCCCAGAGAGTTTTGCTCCACATCGAAATTCGTGCTCTTTTATTTTCTAAGTGTTGCGAATAATACTTCACACTTAAATTTAAGACATTCATAACAAAAATTTTATGAAGATAATTCCCGCTACGTCTTCCCAAGTTTTGCTATTTTTCTTTAGTTTATTTAATGTTTATTATTTTTTATGAATATGTAGCTCATTACATCATATACTACATCCAGATTTCAGACTTTGTGTAAAAATTATGAAAATTCTGCAAAATTTCAGCATAATTTGTAACTTTTTAATCAGCTAAAACATTATATGTATTTGGGTCACTCGCTTAAAACAAAATACATTGAAATCGGCATTGAATCGGGTTGGAAAATATTGTTTTTCAATTTTATATAACACAGTCCGACATGAAAATTTTTTCAGAGATAAGACTAGCCATTTCTAAAAGATTTTGAAACACTAAATTTGTAAAAATAAAAACTTGTATATTTGAATTTTAATAAAATAAGGCGAATAGCGAATAGCAAAATCGGCTAAAAACGGCTAATTTTTTTTTGCAAAACGGCTAACATATCGGCTGCCGGCTAAACCGAATTTTCTCCGGCTGTTTTCTATGGCAACCGGTTAAATCTAGCCGGAAAACGGCTAAAATGGCAACACTGCTCACNGGCACGAAACTATGTATTTGTGGCAAGAATTATCCTCATAAATAAAACTACTGCAGTTTCATTTTCTAAAATTTTTGTTTATAGAAAAATGTATAAGACAGTTTGGGTACGGTTCGGTTATTTGTACAATGATTTTTGGTTATCGTGTCCAAACACGTGAACCGAATTAAAAAAAAAAATTACATATACGTCTCGCAAAGGGATTAAGCTTTAATTTAAAGTAAATATTTCTGTTTGAAATATGCACTTTTATTGTAAATTTGGACGACGTGGGTTTTGCACAGAAATACTGTGGATGGCGTAACCGGAGTTGGACTGATGAGGTTATTTCTTCTAGTGCGGCCGAAGGTCACAACTCGGAAATAATAATAATAACAAAAATAAAGTATGTTTGCACCATTATGCAATTATTCACAGGTATTGTCTTCCCAGAGAGTTTTGCTCCACATCGAAATTCGTGCTCTTTTATTTTCTAAGTGTTGCGAATAATACTTCACACTTAAATTTAAGACATTCATAACAAAAATTTTATGAAGATAATTCCCGCTACGTCTTCCCAAGTTTTGCTATTTTTCTTTAGTTTATTTAATGTTTATTATTTTTTATGAATATGTAGCTCATTACATCATATACTACATCCAGATTTCAGACTTTGTGTAAAAATTATGAAAATTCTGCAAAATTTCAGCATAATTTGTAACTTTTTAATCAGCTAAAACATTATATGTATTTGGGTCACTCGCTTAAAACAAAATACATTGAAATCGGCATTGAATCGGGTTGGAAAATATTGTTTTTCAATTTTATATAACACAGTCCGACATGAAAATTTTTTCAGAGATAAGACTAGCCATTTCTAAAAGATTTTGAAACACTAAATTTGTAAAAATAAAAACTTGTATATTTGAATTTTAATAAAATAAGGCGAATAGCGAATAGCAAAATCGGCTAAAAACGGCTAATTTTTTTTTGCAAAACGGCTAACATATCGGCTGCCGGCTAAACCGAATTTTCTCCGGCTGTTTTCTATGGCAACCGGTTAAATCTAGCCGGAAAACGGCTAAAATGGCAACACTGCTCACCACTCTACTACCGCGGATAAAGTAGTTGGCTGCTTTGTTTGCTCAGAGAGCGTAGAACACGAAGAAAATTTAAAACTAGCATGGGCATCCACCTTGTCGTCGGTAATGCCGTCACCGTATTAATTAAAATAAGTTCTTATTCAATTTCAATTGGATTCCTATCTGACTTAGTATGGTGACCGCGTTACCGATGAAAAGGTCCATGCTAGTTTTGCCCTTTCTCTGTATTCTACGCTCTCTGAGTTTCGGTCAGTGTTGTCATCGAATATTCCCTTGATCCGAGATCAGTTTGGGAAATAAATCTAGGACTTAATCCGGATCAACTGCAGTTAATTCCCGAGGTAATTCCGAGTTAGCGAGTTGATCCAGATCAACGCTGCCGTCTGTCTATGCTTTTACTTTGTGGTGAATAAATTTTATGAAAATCTTTTAGTATGTGATAGGCTTGTCTGATCTGTTCTTTTAGTGTAAATAAAACGACGTTATTTCACTTACGGCCCAACGTTTCGCTAATCTTTTTAGCATCTTCAGGGGCGTGTTTATTTTATTATCTGTTACAAAAATATAAATACATATGTACATATATATATGATAGTATGTATTTATATTTTTGTAACAGATAATAAAATAAACACGCCCCTGAAGATGCTAAGAAGATTAGCGAAACGTTGGGCCGTAAGTGAAATAACGTCGTTTTATTTACACTAAAAGAACAGATCAGACAAGCCTATCACAAACTAAAAGATTTTCACAAAATACAAACTGATCGGATATACATAAATAGAATAAATTTTATGTTGCTTCCCATTCAAAAAGGAAATTAAAGAACTAAAATTAATCTTTAAATGATTTTGGCCCGTACGATCCGACAAGTGATTTCTTATTTTATTAT